CCTAGCCAGTTCCTACCTCCTATTCTTATCACACCATCCTCTGAAGGGGTTACCCAAATTGCCAGTAGGGAATAGGGAGACAGACCGCTCTAACAGCCAGTGTTCTAACCTCTGAGCCATCACTCCAGCCCAAGAATTGAAAAATTTTAAGAACAGTTTCACATTGTAGACCTCAAATTTTTTTGCTGTTACTTTTTTCCTATGACTCTGTATTCATTGAAAATACATTCCTAGTCACATTTATGCTGTAAAGTATGAATGCCTTAGAGTAAGTTGTTTTTGCTTTTTTCCAGGTAAGAATAAGTAAAGAGCAAGACCACATCATCATAATCCCTAGAGGCCTCTCTTTTTCTGAAGCCACAGCCTCCAATTTGGTATAATTTTCATTTCTGTGTTAGTTTTCTGAGTTCCCTTGTACATTTTGGTACAGTTCTTTTAGTATTAGCATGAAACAAGAAAAAAATATGGATAGAAAAGCAATCATAAAGAGCAATGAAAGGTTTAGAAAATTATTTTTAAGAGAAGTTTTAGGGTTCAAGAAAAATAAGATGGTTAAAGAGACAATAAATGAGTTGCAATTATTTTACCTCCTTATGTTTTAAAAGGAATCTTTTAAATATTGTCCGCCTTGTGTACTTGGGGGAAAAAAAGGTTTCAAACATGGTCAATGTATATTCCATAGATTTAAGCAGTTTAGTTGGTGTGGAGTCAGCATCTGGCCCCTCATTTTCCTCCTTCCCTTGGTTGCATTCCTAGAACTGTCCTGAATTTATAGAACAACTTTAACAGCACTAGCTCGGTGCTGCAGTGTTAACAGGCAGCAGCTTTCCAGCCAGCTGCAGTAAATGCTAGACTTGTCCAAGCTCTTGATGAAGAGCTCATGTTAATCAGTTCCTTGGAATCTTCTTGCTAGTTAAACTGTAACTTTTGTTATACAATACTTCTTTTAGAAATAAAATTTTATGAGAACAAAACTATATACTTTGTTTTACAAATTGTTTATGGCTGTTTTCTATACTTCTGTGGTGAGTCCGTTGTTGCCACAAAGGACATACAATCTGAAATACTTCCTAGCTGGCCTTCTACACAGATTTGCCACTTCCTGGGGTAACTTGTGGGACAGAGAGGAGGTTTGGTACATCTGTACCAATTAAGTGTGTCTTTCTGATTTTTTTCAGGTGAAAGTCAATATAATAGGAGAAGTGGTGGACCAGGGAAGTACTAATTTGAAAATTGACCATACAGGATTCAGTCCCCATGCTGCAATTTATTCAACACGTCCTGACGTGAAGTGTGTGATACACATCCATACTCTTGCTACAGCAGCTGTAAGTCAGCCATGGGCCAAAACCAGAATGACTGTGGAAAACAGTGTTTTCCTGACTTTCCCAATGTGGGCTCCTTCATACTGTGACATTTGCTAACCTTTCATATACCCAGAAAGCAAACAGTTTTTGAGACCAAATGCTACCATTTTGGGAACCGAACTTTTCATTTTTTGGTTGTTAGCCTTAGCCTTTAACAGCTGCACTATCCTTCCAGCCCCTGGAAAAAATAACATTTGGATTTTAAGATGAAACAGTTTAATAATTGGGTCACTGAGTTTTGAGAACAAAACTTCTTTCATATTATTTGACATAGTATTTAAATTGTATTGTATCCCTTAAATTCTTTTTATTTTTTTTTCCTCTTTCTGAAAGAAGTGAAAAATTAAGTGGGTGTGCTGCATTAGGGCCACCTTTTGGGCCACCTAAAGAATCAGATTCTGATGAATGTGTGCAATAACTGAATGTATGATCTTGAACCCAATCAATAGGTGTCCTCCATGAAGTGTGGAATCCTTCCAATTTCTCAAGAGTCCCTTATCCTGGGAGAAGTTGCCTATTATGACTACCAAGGATCACTTGATGAAGAAGAGGAAAGAATTGAACTACAGAAAGTTCTGGGGCCAAGTTGTAAGGCATGTAGCCGTCTCTATCTGAGGAACTACTTTGGTTGCTGCTGCTTTTGATGAAAATGGTGTATGCTATGCCATATATTTAAAGTGATTGCTCTGGGCATCTGTTTTAGGTGCTGGTACTCAGGAATCATGGTGTAGTAGCACTTGGAGAAACACTTGAGGAGGCTTTTCATTATATTTTTAATGTGCAGATGGCCTGTGAGATTCAGGTAGGAAACATCAACTCTTTTTTATTGCTTGCCTGTTTAGATTTTGTGTTTACTTCTTTTTTTGTTAAACTGCTTTGGGAGGGATTTTTTTCCCCTTTTTTGTTCTTTTGTTGTTGTTTTGCTGCTATTTTTATTTTATGTGTATAAATGTTTGCCTGCATGTATGTAAGTGCGCCCGTGTACACAATGCCTGTGGCGGTCAGAAGAGGGCGTTGGAGCCCCTAGAAATAGAATCATAGAAGGTTGTTAACTGCCATGTGTGTTTGCTACTTTTTTTTAATTTTTTTTTTTTAATTTTATGTGTATGAGTGTATTGCCTGCATGTATGTGAGTGCACCCATGTTGTACAACATGCAATGCCATGGAGGTCAGAAGAGGGCTTCGGATTCCCCTGGACCTGGAGTTAAGGACAGTTTGTAGCCGCCATGTGGGTGCTGGGAATCGAACCTGGGTCCTCTGCAAGAGCATTCGATGGTCTTAACCACTGAGCCATCTCTCCAACCCCTGCTTACTAATTTTTAAAGCCTCATTGGCCAGTGACTTGTTTCATCTTTTAATAGAAGTTGTACTCAAGTAAAAAAGATTGTCAGTTACCTTTTCTTTTGAATATTTTTATTGAGTTTTTGTGTACTTCATACACAAAACATCTCAATCATCTTTATGCCCCCTCCCATATCTGTACCCTCCCGTAGCCACCCCCCATCAGATTTCATGCATTCTGTCATTTATATTAAGGCCTATCAAGTCAAGTCACTGTACCCAGATGTCCCTCAGTGTAAGTTCTAGAGTCATTCCTTTAAAGATCAGTTCTCCCTCACCCAGGGGTAATCAGCTTCCCATAGACAGAGACTGTTACTGATTTCTACCACTGGTCACACATAGAGATTAAGTGTCTGTAAAATACCCAACCCTAAATGACATATCTACAATGGAACCTCTATACCGAAGACTCACGGAACATAGTGGAACAAGGGGTAGAGAGAATACTAATGCATCTCTCAACTCTCATCAATGAAACGCCCATTCTTTCATCTTAAAGTAGTGCCTATTTTTGAAGGTGAGATGAGTTTCTTGCAGACAACAAAAAGATGGATTTTGTTTCTTAATCCATTCAAGTAACCTGTGTCTTTTGACTGGGGAGTTCAGGCCATTGATATTTAAAGTTATTATTGAAAGATGTGTATTGATTACCATCATTTTAATTTGTTTGCATTCTTGGTCTACTTTTGTGTTTCCACAATTTGACCTTCATTTAGTTTCTGTTGCCTCTAGGGTATAGTCGTTCCTTTTTTCAGTCCTTTGTATTGCTTTGCACATTCTCTGAAGGGCTGGTTTGGTGGACATGAATTCTTTCAGCCCATTTGTGTCATGGAAGATTTTTCTTTACCCTTCAACTATAATAGACATTTTTGTTGGGTACAGTATTCTGGGTTGGCATCTGTGGTTATTTAGAACTGGGAATACTCTGGTTCAGGCTCTTCTGGCTTTCATGATTTGCATTGAAAAGTCAGGTGTAATTCTGATGGGTTTTTCTTTGTATGTGACTTGTTTTTCTCTTGCAGCTTTCAATGTTCTCTTTGTTCTGTATGCTCAGTGTTTTTACTAGAATATGCCATGCAGAGTTTCTTTGCTTGTTCTATTTGGTGTTGTACGTGCTTCTTGTACTTATTATGGGAATGTCTTTCCTTAGTTTGGGGAAATTTTCTTCTATAATCCTGTTGAAGATCTGAGATTCTTACCTGAGATTCTTCTCCTTCCTCTAGGTCTATGATGTGTAAATTTGGTCTTTTTATGGTGTCCCACATTTCCTGCATATTCCATTCCTGTTTTTTTTTGTTTTTTGTTTTTGTTTTTTTATTTTTCATGTATGAAACTCGAATAGTCCAACTCTTCAACTTTATCATCTAATCTTGATATCCTGTTTTCCATTTCATTCTGTTGGTGAGGCTTTCTCCTGGCATTTCAAATTAACTTGTTGAGGCGGGCATGGTGTTGCATGACTTTACTCCCAGGACTTGGGAAGCAGAGGCAGGCAGATCTCTGTGAGTTCAAGGCTAGCCTGGTCTACATAGCAAGCTCCAGGCCAGCTGGGGCTATATGGAAATCCTGTCTCCAAAAGAAAAGACAAATTGGGCTGGAGAGACAGCTCAGTGGTTAAGAACACTGACTGTTCTTGCAGAAGACCGAGGTTCGAATCCCAGCTCCCACATGGCAGCTAACAACTGTCTGTAGTTCCAGTTCCAAGGGATCTGACAGCCTCTTCTGACCTCCGCGGCATTGCACGACAGGGGTGCACTCACCTACATGCAGGCAATATATGCATACATATAAAATAAAAATAATAAATAAAATATTTTTTTTAAAAAAAAGACAAATTGGCTTGTTGAATTTTTCACTTCCTCTTTCATTTCTCATTTTTCTTCAGTGTTTCTGTGTCTTCTGTGAATTCAGTCAGAAGTCCATCCCTGTCTTCTTTGAGTCCTTTGGGTTGTTTGTGTGTTCTTTAAATTCACTGGATTATTTGATCCTATTTATGATTTTTCTTTTAAATTCTGTATCCTGGGTTATCTCTAGGGAGTTTTCATTGTAGAATTCTTCTATAGGTCTGATGGTGTTCCGTGGGAACATATTATTTTGGTTTTTCATATTTTTTGTTGTGGTTTTGGCATGTGGATTTCTTTTGTTGCTTGTGATTCTGGTATGAAACTCAAGCCTTCCTTTGTTGAGTTGAAGTCTGATTCTGTTTGTGTTATTGATATACCTTAGTTGCTTTCTGGTTGGGTATGAAGAGCTGATTGGTCTAGGCTTCAGGTTCCCTTGTTAGATTTTATATTGGAGGGACCAAATGTCTCCAGTTAGTCTACTCAGGGGCTCTTCAGGAGGGCACAGTGGCCCTAGCTAGTTAGGCATGCTTCAGAAGCCTCAGAGGGATAGTGCCAAGGTCCAGGCCGAGGAGACGGGAGATAGATGTGCTGGTCCCTACTAGTCAGCAGGGACGCCTAAGCCCTGGAGCTGTGGGAGGGACTGCAGATGGTCCCAGAACAGGAAGATGGACGTAGGGCCATTTTGGAGACTCATCCCAGAGGCCGATTCAGGCACTCTCAGGCACTCTCCAAAGGTCTCTCAGTTGTCTTTTGAAGTAAAAAAGTTGAAGAAAGGAAATTAAAATTCATACACCCGCGAATGTAAGAGCCTTGTGAACTTCATTTTGCCACAGCCTCACTTTGCTTTCCTTCAGTGATGGTGCTGACTGAGAAACAAAGGCGCCTGCAGTCAAGAGCTAAGACCAACACCAGAAGTTTGATGAACTCATGTGGTTTCCGACAGTTCCCAGCCTCTGTGATATAATACATTGAATATTTATTAACCACATATTTACTCAGAGATGCTGAGTATATGTGAACTCTTATATCCCTCTTAAAATCAAGCAGATTCTCTTGATATAAATAGCAATAATCTTAATTTATTTGAAAGACCAGAAGGAAGAAGAAAACCTGTTTTCTGCTTCTTTTTTCCAAAATATGGGCCTTCTGTATATACCAGGCTGACCTCAAACCTGAAATCCTTTTGCTGTAGCCTCCCGAGTGCTAAGGATTTCGGGCATGTACCACCACACTCAGTCTTTGAGTCTGTACTAACTTATCTTGACCAACTTCTCCTTTGCTTTAATGTTTCTTCTCAAACGGGGCTATGAAAAATTTAATTAAGATAGTAAGCTGTCAACTTCTCTCTAAATATCCTTAAGTAGGAACTAAAGTATATTCCTATATTCCTTCCAAATTATATCTTTCAACAAGAGTATCAACTAGATAGCCATGGGAAATTTTTTTAGAAAATAAAATTTAGTGTGAAAACTTGATAAAGAGGCAACTCTAAATGTGCTCTCCAGCTAAAATCTGGGAGTCCTGGTATCCTGTTGACCCTGCATAAAAGTGTTTGTTTGTCTTTGTTCTTAGTACCTGACAAGTATTGTGAATTTTTGCCAAAGTTGGATTGTGACTTTTTGAAAATAAAAATCCCCATTGTGGTCTTTATGGTTCTGAACCTATATATCTTGCCATTGATTACAGGTTCGAGCAATAGCCGGGGCAGGTGGAATAGACAATCTGCTTGTACTGGATCTTCAGAAGTATAAAACTTTCACTCATGGCGTAGCAACATCTGGAGGAGGCGGTGTAAATATGGGTTCTCATCAGAAATGGAAGATTGGCGAGATAGAGTTTGAAGGGCTGATGAGGACTCTGGACAATTTGGTAGGTGAAATTTTGAAGCTAAATGTGGATTCCATGTCTCCAGATTCAAAGGCAAATACCTTGTCTCCCTTTGGTTTTTAGAACACTCTCCTAACTGCTCTAGGACCTGAGTTTGACCCTACAAAGGAACTTTGGTGTAATTTCACCATGTTTTTAGGATTCAAACCGTGAAGTGCACCAATACTATCCCTTTCCCCAAAGAATACAATACTGTTGTTAATCATAGTCACTACATTGTACAGTATACTCTTGAACTTAATTCTCCTATCTAATTGAAAGTTTGTACTATTTGACCAACTTCTCCTTGCCTCTATCCTCTGGTAGCCACTTTTATTAGCCCCTTAGAGCTAATATGGTTTGGTAGATGTCATCTTAGATTTTTTTACCCTCTTCCACGGAGCATCAGAAAACAAATTGCCTTCAGACCCAGGAAGGAAAACTTCATTGAGCACTGAGCTTTGGTCTTCCCAAAACCATTTCATAAATAGGAAATGTTTCAATCTTCAGTGTAGAAACGACCTTTGTCAGCAACAGTGAAGTAGACGTTGCAGTGCCAGCTAGGGTCAGTTTCAGCCACATCTGAAATTCACTTAATTTCAACTCCAGTGTTCTCTAGAGGTTATGTGGGGTTTAGAAGAATATTTTCTTTTTTGCTTTCCAACAAAGGACTCTGAATCATTTGTTTAAAGAAATACCGTGTTGGTACAGGTTTGACTTCAGATGTGGTTTTTTTTCTCCCCCAGGGCTACAGAACAGGCTATGCGTATAGGCATCCTCTCATTCGAGAGAAGCCTCGGCACAAGAGTGATGTAGAAATCCCAGCTACTGTGACTGCTTTCTCCTTTGAGGATGACACAGTGCCGCTGTCTCCTCTCAAGTACATGGCTCAGAGGCAACAGCGTGAAAAAACAAGATGGCTGAATTCACCAAATACTTACATGAAAGTCAATGTGCCAGAGGAATCTCGGAACGGGGAAACTAGTCCCAGGACCAAAATCACAGTATGCCTCTATTCTAGAGTTTGCTTTTCAAAATATTTTACCTAGTTACTCATAAGTTGAATATTCTCTGAGTTATAGAAATGTAGGCTATACTGTAAAAATATGACTACCATTTATCAGGTATTAATTTTGTTTAAGGTACTGTTCTAAGTGTCATACATGAATAACTTCATTTAGTTTTCCTAATACAAAATGGATGCTGTTTTTCTCCATTTTACAGATGAAAAAGCCAAAGCAGGAGGAGCTAACTGGTTATTTTTTAATGGTAAAGTCAGAGTTTGAATGCCAACAGTCTGACTTGAACCTAATTCTTACCTACCACATGATACTGCTATGTAACTTATATTGCCCAATGCATTAGAACTATAAAAGTTACTAATACTGAATGGTGCCA